AGCAAGCATTTATAATTATTAATCACTTTAGCCTCCCCTTTATTTTAATGTTGCATGAGTGTGACCACATGCATAAGAATGAATTAGTATAAATCATCCCTAACCTAGGGATAGATCAAATGTATAAATAATTATATTACAAATAAAGTGCAATATCATAATAAAATAAACACTCACATATATTAAAATCAACCAGCACACATGCCACATACAAAAGCACCACAACATAGAAAACATCACAGAAAAAAGAAAGCACTGACCTAACCTAGAGCTAGAAGTAGTGCCATAGCTAACAATTCTATGTGTGTGCATAAGGTTGTGAGGCTTTGGGTAGGTCCTATGTCGGGTACTTGGTTCAAGTAATTTTTTGTTCAAGTTTGATGTAGGTCAAAAAGGGAAGTTTAATTAGAGTTAAAGTAATAATGGATTGGGGTCCATTTTAGTAAATTTTAGTTTATGGATCCATTTTAATGCTTAGGATAGTGTTCTTTAAAGTTTAAATTGAGTTAGCCTATTTTAGAAGGTCCGGGGTCATCCTACACGTTAAGCTAAGGGTCCAAAAAGTCACTTTTAGAAATAGGTTAAGTTTTAGGATTCTACCCTAGCTCATAAGTTTTTTTTAAGTTTGCTATCCTTAGGGTGTCACTATGTTAAGTAGGTTTGAATTAAGTTTTGGGGGTAACGTAAAGGAAAATGCAGCAAATGTAAATATATCAAGACATTAGATCTAGAAGAGCCTAAATTAGGTGCTCGTGCGTCCTACACATGCAAAAAATGTTAAAATAAAAAAGTAAGCACGCTTATCAAAGTGATTAATGGATGATTGGAGGCCAATCACCCACCAATCCACCCCCCATGAATGTTATTCATATGCACTACATATGTTCAAAATTCCACAAAGTGGATCCCCCAAAATGAGGAAATTTAAAATATATGTATTTTAAAAATAGTTTTAAAATGCACTCAAATAAATATATATAAATTTTAAAAAATAATGTAATTAAAAATAAATCCATTTTTAAAGATAAATAATTATAGGGGAGATCCATTGGTCAGTCGGGTCAGGTTTTAAAATAAATTTTAGTTTAAAAATAATTAGTATTATGTTTATCTACATAATATTTAAATAATGAAAATAATTCAATAATAAATAAATAATCCATAAAAAGCATGTTTTGATACCTAAAAATAATTTTTAGATTAAAATTCATAATTTTATAAAAAATTTAAGGTATTATATATATACATAAAATTCTGATTTAAAATGAATTAATCATGAATTTTTTAAGTTTAAATGATTAAAAAAGGTAATTTTAAATAATTTAGAATAATTAATGTTTAAAAGTAATAGTTTAATTTAAAATATAATTTATATCTAAAACTTGTTTTATTTTTTAAATAATAAAGTAATTTTCTTAAAATTTTAGTGTATAATATGTATTTTTTATTTTAAAATAGTTTATAATAAATACTTAATGAAATTTAAATTAAAAATGCATTAAAAAATTAAAATCAACTAAAAAAGAAAACGACGGTGAGCGACACCTAGCAACCTTGAATTGGCTCCCAGAACCGTGTATGCGATTTGGCAATAATTACCAATGATTGCGCAGCCACGCAATCATTGGTAATGATTAGTGTGACACTGAGATCAATGCCTGCAACTTAACCACAACAGATGCGGGAGCGGACTATCTGATTTTTCGCGGTATGAGATGGACTGTCCCGATCTTGCCAGATCGAGAATGGAGCCGCAGGATCGCTTTCGCGGTTCGGAGGAAAATACGAAACGACGAGGTCTAAGCCATTGATCCAATGATCAACGACAAAGATTTTGTACCTTTGGACCTTGGGTGAACCCGAGACTCAAAAGCGATTTTCGTATCATTCTCACAAACGGTATGATAGAAATCAATAAAATTTAAACACAAGTAATAGGCATGAAGAGCATCCTTGGGGGACCAAAGTGCGGCCTAAAACGTGTTGTATGAAAAGTTAAATAAAGCTAAGTGTGGTTATCTAAATCTAAGGTTTTTGAAGGATCTCACTGTTGGATCTTCGAGATCTTGAAACGATTGAGCTTGTAGATTGTCCTTATACAAGCTCCTAGTCTATCTCGAGCTTTGAAATGCCTTGGATCATCATGTAGGAAGCTTTGGGGTTTCGGGTCGTCGGAAACTCGCAGGCGGCGGCTTGGGACTGTCAGGTTTTGACTTTGGAAGACGGGATAGAGTTAGGAGAGCTCTCAAACAAAAGTTTTCGGGCTTAGGTGGGTTAGGGAAAGAATAATTGCAAGAGAGCTTCCAATGAACCCAAAAAACCATATTTATAGCCCTAAGGTTTTAACCAACGACCAAGATCGAATCCCTGATCAATTAGGAGGGAAACCAATTTGATTTGGCCGTGGGTTGCTCTAGGTAATAAAATGAAAGATTTAAATCCATTAAATAGGTCTTAATTTCACCTAAATAAGTTAAATTTGACCAAGGTGGACTATTGTTGACCTGGTCAACCTAGTCAATAAGACCCAATGGGGAAGAGGGTTGAGTCCAAGAAGAGTTTGAATTGGGTTTGAATTAATTTATGCTCAAATGGGTCTAAGTGGGTCAACCTAGATTGACTTAGTCAACTAGGTTGACCCTTGGCATAGGATTGAGCCCAGTATGTTAGGTCTGACCCACTGAGTCCAACGGTGGTGAGTTGAGCTCAAGAAGTTCTGGAATGGAATTGAAATCAAAAGGAGAGGGTATGGGTCAATTTGGGTCAACCTGGGTTGACTTGATCAACTAGGTGGGCTTGGGCTCAACAAACCTAGTTTGACCCACTAAACTCAAGGGAGGTGGTCTTAGGGCCTGACTTGGTCAATTTGATCAAGTCAACTCCTTTGACCAAGATTTTTGGTGAAATCAAGGTCAACAAAAGGGGGATATACCTCAAGCTAAGGAGTCTTTGAAGTTAGGGGGAAAAGGGCCTTATCTTTACTATTGCTTGATTGATCACCTTATGCCTTATTATGACACTCACAATTCGAGGAAGGGTCACATAATGAGAAAAATGATCTTTTTGCACCATTCTTGCACACCAATCTCTTGGACACCTTTCAAGAGATCCCTCATGTTCTCTCCAAATTCTCTCACCTTCACTCTCAAACAATACTACAAGACTCCCAATAACTCTCTCTCTCTCTCTCTCAACCCTCTTAGATCTCCCAACCTTATTAACCCTTGATAGTCAGAGACACCACAAGCCAAAGACATGTTCTCAACTTAAAACATTAGTATTTATATTAGGTTATAATCAAATCCTAAAAATCTTGATTTAGTTAATGTCACAGATAAATCATACAGTACAAACTATGAATCTGACAATACATGGTCTAAATGAGATTTGTGTAAAAAGCATTTTGTTTGCTCATACTATATGATAGTAAATTACGATCTTCATAATATTAGCAACTAAGAGCTTTGGGTCATTCTGTTCAAACAGAGTTCATCCATGCGAGCTCTTTATTTACTCATATTATAAGAATAAGATCATACAATGCAATATCTGCTATGATTTGATATCTTGATTTCAGTTTTCAAAATAGATAAATAATAATGCAAGGAATCAAGTTTTGTATTATACGAATAAGTTCATCCGGAATGAACAATTCAAGAATTGAATTTATCTATTTTTGATGATTTGAATTTGAAATAACTAATCATCAAGTGCAATATAGATCATTTGTACAATTAGTTATGATACTTTTTAATTTCAAATATTAGTTAATTAATGTCACTTGATTTTTAGAAAGTATGAAATTGCCAACCATATTATATAGTATTATAGTGCGAATTAAATCATATAAAACAATTTAATCATAAACTCAAGTATTTTAATTAACTTTGTTTTAATTTTATTAGCCTTGTGTGTGTGCTTGGTCGTTCAACCCACTATACATCTAAAGTAAGTAAAAATTTAATAAAATAAAAATAATATAAAAAGAAATACAAGTTGATAAATTTATTAGTTCTTGATCTTCTTGACTTTGACAGACTTTCTTCATGTTCAATTCTTTCAGCTTCATCAAGTCCTTGGCCTGATTCCATCACCTACATGCTTTTGTAATGCAAGTAGAAAATCAGTTTCCTGAACACATAACTCAACTTACGTTTAGTATAACCAATAATGTTTATAATCGTCAAAATCCTATTGTACATGAGGCTTATAGGATTTAATAAATGAGGATTGGTAGATGTCTATGTACTTGTAATAAGGTGTAACAACACTTGGTAAACTATAAGTACACAACTATGTATACTAATTACATTAGATTTGGAAAGCAATGCATAGTTATGGTGGATTAAAATGTAAATTCTCTTATCAAAACACAAATACACAACTTTGTATTATCATTACATTAGGTTTGGGTGGCAACATAACTATATGCTTATTATAAGATGTATCTTCTCATGGTAAAATATAAGATGCCATTGCATTGAGTTTGAGTTTATGTGCACAATTGTGTACTTAATAATAAGATGCCACATTTCTCAGTAAGTCTCAAGTAACAGCCCTATATAACATCTCTAATTATTTTAAATTTCGTTTGAGACAACTTTCTTACTGTTTTATGAAGCAGCCTTCTAGCATAATATTTTTAAATTCAAAAAAAAATTGTACTAAAAAATTACTTCATAAAACATTGAGAAAAATGTCCCAAATGAAACCTTAGATCATCTCCAGCCGAACTACATACAATGGTATGCCATTCAAACGCTAAATTGAAAACCAAAATTCTGAAAAAGTGTCACACTGTTCACCGATGCTAATTTTTTATGTTAAGAAATAAATATAAAAAATGAGAAAGAGTATATACAAAATATTTTTTTATGTTAAAAAATAAAATTTGGTTGGAGACAAATTAAAGTGAAAAATAAAATTTTAAGTTGGAAATGCCCTTAGATATGCTATACAACTATACAGTTTTGATATAAGGACCATCTGTTAACATGATTACAGTAACTCCAAATCATCTTCGTTAATATTTCTAATTTCCTCCGTTGTCTGAACTCGTTTACAAAGATGTTGGGAGTCCGTGGATGGAGGACGCTGCGGTACGCGGCGGCGATGGTCGCCACCAATGACCTTCGTTGGCTATTGGGCATCCGGACCCAAGGTCCGTTCGCAGCACTAGCCGGAGTTCTCCTGCTGGAGCGGCATAAGTGGGAGGGAGGCTTTGATGAGCAATCCACCCGCCGAATCCGGGCGGAGGCGCACTGCCCCCGTTGCTCTAAGCATTTGGAAGTCCTCTTCTCCAAGTGGTTGCCAGAGCCGCAGGAGGATCCGCCGCCCCCCGTTTCTGGCGAGTACAAGGCCGTGAATCTCTGCCCCAATTGCAAGTCGGCATACTACTTCCGCCCCCACAGGTTGGTGCCACTCCAGGGAAGTTTCATAGAGATCGGTCGGCCGGGGAAAGACGGATTCGGTGCGGCGGCGGAGGATGATGCCACGAGTAAATTTAGGGTTTCGTGGAGTGGCTCGCTTAGATCGGGTGAATCGCCGGGGAGCTTGTCACTGCCCTCGGCTATTCCGCCTGGGGAAAGTGGCTTGGCGGTGGTGGGACCATCGGGTCGGCCAGGGTCGCCATTCGTTGGCAATGTGAACATGGTGAGAATGCCCGGCGGTGGGAAGGTGGGCGCTGATGAGCAGAGTGTGGTTGGCAGTGGTTGGGGCGGCGCCAACTTGGGGAAGGACTTGCCAACGCCCAAAGAGATACGTAAGGGGTTGGATAAGTTCGTAATCGGACAGGAAAGAGCAAAAAAGGTAACTTTTATTTTATTTTGATTTATTTATATTTAAAATATTATATTTTTTGTTTAAGAGTAATCACCCGCTTTAAATAGTTTTAATATTGTTCAGCCTCGCCTTTGCATTCCTCCAAATTCGTTGTACTTTTTCCTCACTTTTTATTGGACCTGCAAGATGTAGAATGCTCTATTTTTAGTAAGTTTGGTGTATCATTTTGCAGCTTTTGATGGAGTTTTCTGCTTGTTCCATTCCTAATTTATATCCCATTCTATCTCAGTGGTAATTGTGCATGCATCTCCTGCAAGAAACTACACGAAAAAGGAAACAAAGATGTGAATATGGTTTTCTTTGGGTGTAATAAAATGGTTCATACAAGTAGTAAGCAGATGACTTGATTGTGAAGGTGAAGAAGTTAGTTCGCGAAACATCATTATGGTCATCAATAGCCTTATCCAAACTATTTGAGATTGGTTTGTCTTACCTGAATACTTTTTAATTTATGAAATTTATTCTTTGTAAATCATGTTTAATAATTTGAATCCATATTAATTGAAGTGTACTTTTTTTCCCTCTAATGGTTAAATACTTATTGTATCTATCCATCTAATGGGTGCATTTTATACCTCTCATTGTTTATGTGCAAATCACTTAACTCTATTTTGAAGTACGTTATCTTCTTCTAATATATTGATCCTTCATGATTTTGTGCTTTTCCCACACATTCATCCTAGCATCCTCATTTCTCTAAAGCTTAACCTACCAATAACCTTTTTTACCACCCCACACTTGGATCCATTTAACATTGTCATCCTATTGCATATTTTATGAAATCAGAAGTAATCCACTTTGGTTTGTGCAAAAAATTGTTAACGAGGGAGTTGTGGTTTGAGAGGATCAAACTAAAGAAGTTCCTGGGGCACCAAGGAGTGCCTACAGTGGGTACCCTTTAAGAGGGGTGGCAACTTCTCATGATGGACCAAACTAGATGGAGGGGTTTAAGGTACTATGAAGAGGACATGAACGTCAACTTTGATTTGGGCTAACCTAGCCTCTATGGGTGCTTGCTTTGGGTTAACGCCACCATGGGGGTGGTTTTGTATGGAGCTTGGGCTAGTTTCATTATATGGAGTTGTTATTATTTACTAATGGGTCATTTACGTTAGCAAAAAGGACTATTACGACTAAACATTTCAAGTGGTTATACTATATTTCGAGGGTTGGCTACAGTACTAATAAAGTTGGTTACCACATTATTTTGGTTGACTATATCCATGGAGCGTCAACTATAAATTTTATTTGTTTACTATATATGATCAATTTTAAACGAGAATTTGACTTTTAATAGAACACAATGGAGACAAATGATTCATGTAGTCGACCCCACGTAATGGGATAAAGGCTTGATGTTGTTGTTGTACTATATATGATCATTTATAGGGACAAATGAACTTAAAGGGGGGAATCATGATCCAATAGGTTCTCAAAACCTTAATTCAACCAATTTAAATTGAAATGAAGTATCAAGTAAGCGAATAAATGTAGTGTTTAACATTGTTTAATTTGGGCAATATGCTTCATATTCGTTTTATTTGGGCAATATGCTCCATAAATGTAGTGTATAACATTGTTTAAAATAAGTCTCTCTACAATTCATTCCACAAAACTCTCCATGAGGAATTTATGGGAATAATGAGTCTCTCTACAATTCATTCCACAAAACTCTCCATATCTCTCCTAGTAGCTCAAATCAAATATATAATTCGAAGAAATTTTTCTTTCATATATTTTTATTTTAATTATGAAAGAAATGCAATAAGAATTATATAAAATTTAATTAGTTTATTATGTATGAATTGTATTATTTCCTATTTTAGGTTATATTTGTTTTCTCATATATTTTTTATTTCTTTATTAAGGACTTAGATTCCTATAAATATAGTTTGCAACAAGGACTTAGATTACTATTCTTGTCAATACAATCTATGATGCACGGACACGGACACGGTGACACGGACAGGACACGACACGGACACGGGACACGGCAATTTTTAAAAATATAGGACACAGGTGCGGCGTGGATACGGCATAATAATTTTTTAATATAATATATAAAAATTAAGGTGACATTATAGTAAAAATGTCAAGCAATAATAAATCAATTTCATGATAACTTGTTTAGCTTATAACATAAAAATGTTTAGTACAAAATGTCTATTACAAACATAAAAATATAAGCAAAAAATCATTTTAATACAACATGAAGGTCTAACTACTCAATAGAGGGAATGATAAAATCAGATTTAGATGTGGGTCTTTGGCCTTCAATATCATCATCATTGAATGTCATTGCTTCCAACTCTGGTTCATCTAGAGAAAGATTTGCAACTTCCAATAATCCCATATCATCAAGGCACTCGAACCCATCTCCAGCAACATCCCACGTCTTGTTATCACCTGCCATATAAAGTGGGGTTTTCCTTGATAGAAGATGAATATTTGTATGCACATAAACTAAATCTTCAGCACGTTGTGGAGTTATTTTATTCCTCTTCATAGATTGAATAAATAAGTATGTGCTCCAATTTCTCTCACAACAGGAAGAGAATGATCTTGATCAAGAAGTTTTATTGCTATTGTTTGAAGAAGCGGTGCTGAAGCTCCATGAATCAACCACAACATTTTTGGATCCAACCTCCATCTATCAATCAAAGATTCTTGATTACCAAAATCCTCAAAATATTCAAAGAACATTGCAAGTTCTATATTAATTTTTCTTCTCTCCTCTTCATTTGGAAAATATCTTTTCAGGCATATCTTTCTCATATTTAAAACTTCTAAATCTTTTTGTGTTGAAATTTTGTAAAGAGGATATAAATGATATTTTATAAAATATTTATTGATAGGCTTTCTCTAGCTGGAGCTGAATGACTTATTTATGTCATAAATGTTGCTGAAAAGAGCATGGAAAATCAAATTATTTATAGCAGAAAGCACTGATCTTCTCTAAATCTGGTTAATTTGTGTATCAAATTAAAGAATATGATCATTATAAAATTATATTCACAACTTTGTTTGGATATTGCAAATGAAAATGCCACGCTGTTTGATTTGAAAAATATTTTGTGAGGATTCCAAAATATTATGCTTGATATTTTTTTACTTCATATTGACAATATATTATTTTTATATTGATGATATTGTTGTTTACACAAAGTTATTAGTTGAACATTTTTAAACACCTTAAAATGTTCAAATGGCCAAGCTTGAACAATGGTTTAGTAATTTATGCTCCAAAATGATGCTCTTTTAAGACAATGTTAGATTCTCATATTATAATATTACTAATTTGACAATTATCTCTGTAGAAACAAGTATCACATTTTCTTCTAAATTTTCATTTGAAGTTGTAGATATTAAATAAGTACAAAATTTTGAAAAAGAATAAAAATACACTGATTCCTTGGCTCTCTAAACTATGTGGTAGATTTTTTATAAAAAATGAGCAACTGATCCTGTTATTTTCTTATAACCCATTTTTATTATTCGACATTTCACAAGATCAAACAATGAGTCAAATGCCTTGGTTGAATTTTGTAGACTCTAATAGTGTTAATGTCATGATCTGACCCGGGGCTCGAATTAACGAGGTAGGAACATAAGGTCGGACGATAAAATCATAAACTAAATCTATTTCCAGTTCAATGAATGAGCCACTAAACTTCAAATATGTAAACTGATATATATAATAAACTTAGATACCATTCTTATTGTGTCTCACGTCTACGGTAGGCATTTTCGTATCTTCAGCTCATTTGATTCTATTAAACTTATCTGAAATAAAAGTTAGAGCAACAACAATAAGCCAAAGCTTAGCGAGTAACACATGTATCTAAACTATAGTAATTCCAGATAGTAAAATTAATATACTAGATGTCACTTTTCATTTAAACATATCATAAATTTTATTTTCTATAAACATTTCATTTAAATATATGCATAAATCATAAATACATATCATTTCATATTCATTATATCTATATTCGTAACTTTCTTATTTTCATATATAATACAACCGTCATAAAAGTCACCGTCTAGTACCAATGAAGGTATTCTTTTATCATATCCTTTTCCATAACCTTTATCATTTTAACGTGCACGGGTACAACATCCCCAACTAGTACCATAAAGGGGTGAGTTCCATCATTTCAACATGCACATGTAATCATCAGTCATATCATATTCATATATTATAATACTATGCTCTATCTTATGCTTTATGCAGTAATATAATGAATCACTTAATATGAGAGAGATGAAACATTGAATCATTTGAATACAATAAAGTGAATAACTTGTAATAACAATTAAATAAAAATTTGAAACGATACAATTACTGTAACATGTTTACTATTTTATGTTTCAAGGCGAGTAAACATGTTTCTATGTTATCGTAATTGTATCGTCAAATTTTCATTTAATTGTTATTGCAAGTTATTCACTTTACTGCATTTCAAATGATTCAATATTTCATCTCTCATATATTAAATGATTCACTATATTACTGTATAAAACATAAAATAAAGCATAATATTATGATATATAAATATGATATGATTGATATATTGAATGATTGCATGTGCATGTTGAAGTGATGAAACTTACCCTCTTATGGTACTAGCTGGGGAAATTGTACTCGTGAACGTTAAAATGATAAAGGTCATGAAAAAGGATATGGTAAAAGGAGTACCTTCATTGGTACTAGACAGTGGCTCTTATGACGGTTGTATTATATATGAAAATAAGAAAGTTACGAATACAGATATGATGAATATGAAATGATATGTATTTATGATTTATGCATATATTTAAATGATATGTTTATAGGAAATAAAATTTATGATATGTTTAAACGAAAAGTGATATCTAGCTTATTACTTCTACTAACTTGAATTACTGTAGTTTAGAGGCATGTATTACTCGCTAAGCTTTGACTTATTGTTGTTGCTCTAACTTTT